GGCAGGCCCGGGGGGGGGGGACAGCCTGCCCGCTGGCCCCTCCGGTAACCCGGGGCCGCGCCCCCGGCCAAGGCTAAGGGCAGAGCCGTGCAGCGCTGAGCCTGGGCTGGGGTTTATGGTTTGGGTCTGAGGTCTCCTAGCCTCAGTAGGTCATTTGCTATTGAAAATAAAACGTCTGTGCGCTTTTGCGCACTTCGCCTGAGGTCCCTCGGGACGGTTTGTGCTCGTTTCGGACACCGATTGATGGCGGCTGTGCCAATTTCTCGTCCGGTGGCGGTACAGCCCCTTCCCCAGCCCCTCTCGGCCCTTGGACGCAGCCTCCGCTCCCCGGCCCGGCGGGCAGGGGCTGGATAAGCCCATCTGCTGCTTTCAGGGTGTAGCTGGTGCCACTCGGGTTTCCCTTCATTTGATGCCAGCACAAACATCAAACAAAAGCTGAGAGAGAGGAACCTCAGTCCATACCCAAAGCAAGTAACTTTCCCAGCCCCTGGGACCCCCTAGTAAAGCCCACAGGTTTGGCACCCCAGTTTTAGCCTGGTCAGAGCTCACCAGTGTGACCAGTCCCTAATGCAGGCACAACCAGGGTGGCCCTAAAGGGGTGCTTTGCTTTGCACCGTCGGTGCCCTCGTTTCCCTCCTTGTTTTCCCCAGCTGCCACCCAACAAGTGTTTTAAACCATTCCCCAGGATCCCACAGCAGCGTGGGTCAAGTTCGCTGCCTCCCTGAGCCCGCAGAAGCCACCAACAGCCAGTGACAAAACCAGGCAGCGCCAGAAAGGGAGCAAGGGGACAATTATGTTTTCACCACCAGTCATTTGGGCTTCATGGGATGACGCCGGCTCCCCACACATCCCAGAAAAACTGGTCCAAGTGGTTGGAGAAAGGCAAAGCTCCCTCCAGGGCTGACGACCAGCCTGGGGCAGGTTAGAGCAGGGCTAAAGCTTAGGGAAGGCAAAGAAAGGGTTGAAGGGGCTGGCACGGCTCTTAGCTGTCAGATCAGTCGCAAAACCACCTGGTGGCAGTTCAGCCATGCTATGCGTATTTGAGGAGTCACGGATAAGAAAGGCCTTTGGAGAAACAGGACTGGGGGCTTTTGGGGCAGAGGAGTTTGTCCTGATTCCTAACAAAATTAGGGTACAAACTGCTGGTGGCTGCAGCTGCCAACAGTGCGGGGCACGGGGCCTTGCTGGAAAGTGAAACACAGCAAGAAAGGAAGGCCAAAATGCTGCTGGGCTGAAACATCAGGTGGCAAGGGACCCAAAACACCGCCCTGGGCTGGGTCTCCCTTACAGCATGGAGACCCACCGGTGACTGGGAAAGTGGCCCCGTGGGGCAGTACCCTCAGCCTTCCTGAGCACAGTACCAAGGAGAAGCATTGCAACGGTGGGGGGCAATTTTTGGGGGGAGCTGTAAGGCAGGTGCCTCAGCAAGGCACCCGGCGCTTTGGGGTGTCCCCAGGACCAGTGTTACAGATTTACACACGCCAGCCACCATAACAGGGTCTGAACCTAGGATTCCACTGAGAATGCCAAGTCCAAGTGAAGGTTTCCAATTAGTCTTGTATTAGTTCTTTGGTTACAGCTTGAGCTGGCTGCCTCTGGAGAGGGACCCCCACCCCAATTCACACCTCCCAATTATACCCATACCACCCGTTACCTGATCCCTAAGTGCAATCACTTAATTCTGGTAGGTGGTCTCTTGATTTCTTACTGGTTTTCACTGTCTCTGGGCTGGCCTTCTGAAGTTACCTCATTGTCCTGGAATTGTCTCCTTGGTCCTCATCTTCTTCATTCCGCTCGTATCCACTGAGTTCTTTGTTAGCAGCATTAGTTTTATCAAAAGTTGACGCTTGGTCAGCTCTCGCAGCCTAAGGCTTCAGCTACTTTAGCTGCTAATGCTAAGCCACTAGTGCTAAACGAGACTATTCACAGAGAAAAACCCAGTTAATCCAATTTCCTCTATAGCCCCAGCATCGGGCTGCCCGGGACCCCCCCCCCGCCTCTGCCCACCCCAGCGGTGCCGCGCACACACCCGCTCTCCCTCTGGGATACCGCAGGGGAGCGGACAGCCCACGGCTACGGCCGTGCCCGGCGCCGGCGGCAGCCGCAGACGTAGGATGACCAAAGGTCGCCTGCACCGCCCCGGTAGTGTGGCAGCGCCGCGGATCCGCCGCCATGCCCAACGTACCCTCCTGCCGTGCAGGGTTGGTTCCTCCTTTGCCTAACGCCGAGGCAGGAAGCGCGGGGTGAGAGCTGGGGAGCACGAGCCGCGAGCTGTGCCTTGCCGGGGAGCCGGCTGCCGGCCAGCCCCACAGAAGGCACCCGCCATGGCCCGGCGGGAGCGGGAGCGAGGCCCGGCAGGGCAGAGGGTAGCTGGCATCGTCCGGACGTTCACCTTCCTGGAAGCCACCCAGCCCCAAGCGGGGAGCCTAGCCCGCAGCTCCCATCTCTGGCCGGCCGCCGCGGGGACCAGAGAGCGTTTCCATCCGCTGCAGAAGATGGACACCAACAGGAGCGCCGGCTGGGGCAGCCAAGGCCCGGGGAGCTGGGGTAGGACTGCAGGCAGGCTCTCCGTCAGCCCCAGCAGTACCCGGAGGAAGGAGCTGAAGGAAATCCTCCTGCAGAGCAACAGCCCCGGCAGCAGCATGCGGTTCGCCACCGCTCAGAAGACATCCAACAGCAGCAGTCTCCTTGCAGGGCCACACCAAGAGCAGAAGCCCGAGCAGAGCCCCGAGGTGCTGTCCCTTGCCCTGGATCCCCTGGAGCACGAGTGGCTGCTGACGGTGGCCCAGGGCGATGCGGACAACATCGTCAGGCTGATGGACCTGGATCCCAGCCTGCTGACCAGGAAAGACTTTGTGACAGGCTTCACCGCTCTCCACTGGCTTGCCAAGCATGGCCGTCATGAGAGCTTCATCCAGGTCATGTCCCACGCCCAGAAGAACGGCTATCCTGTCAACGTGAACATCCCCACCGCCAGTGGCGGGCTCACCCCCTTGCACTTGGCTGCCCTGCAGGGACACGAGCTGCTCATCAAAGTGCTGGTGGGAGCTTACGGGGCGGACACCAGCCGCAGGGACCACAACGGGCGCAAGGCTTGGCAGTACCTGAGGGCAGACACCTCCAGGGAGCTGAAGGAGCTGGCGGGGGCCTTGGAGGAGGACTTGGTCCAGCTGGGCTCTCACAACACCAACAACAACTGTAAGTCATCCAGAGAGGCCAGGGCAGGGCGGGACTGTGTGGACTCCAGGGCTGAGGGGAAAGCCCAGCGCTCCTGGTGCTTGTCAACACTCCGGGCCTTTGTCAGACAGGCATCTGCTTTCTTCCAAGAGCGCTGAAGCTCCCCTGGTCCATTCGCCTCCAAACCCCAGGTCTCGCGTGGTGTTTTGGGGCTGTGCCAGCGTGAGTGTGTGTGTAGCAACCACAGCCATTGGGAGCACTGCCTGGGGACAGACCTTCCAAAAAACCACCTGTCCCCGGAGGGGGTTTTGCCCCCTGCCCCTGCTAATGGGGACTCCTTGCTTGCAGCCCAGCAGAGCCCCGCGGTGGGGGCTCACGGGCCAGCCCTGCTGCAGGGAGCTGCTTCTCCGACACCCCGTGTGCCTGTGGGGGCATGCTGACCCACTACGGGAGGTGGTGTCCCGTGTTGGGGGCCGGGGATGGACGTTTGGGCTGCCTGTCCCGGGCTGCTGGCAGACTTTGCGTGTGACTGAAGGTAGGTCACACAGCAACTCGGTGACTTGGTTCTCCCACCTGTAAAATGAGGCTGTCGGCGCTGCCCTGGCTCCCAGCAATGCTGTGAGGTTGGACTGGTCATGGTGCCTTGGGTGCCTGGATGGAGACACTGGCAGAATATAATTAAATATTTCACAACCATACTCTGAGATGCCAGAGGCCTGGCACTGGGCTGACAATGGAGAAGAAAGTATGGCTTCAGAAACAACCCCCCGCCCAAACACTTTTTTATGTACGCTTCTCTGCCGGCAGGGAGAGCGGGTACAGACAAGCAGACTGTGCCACCGAGCTGCAATCGCTTTCCAGCTCCCTGTGAGATCCCCAGATCTCTGCCACATGCGCCTCCTCTGGGTTGCTGTTTGTTTATGACAGACAAAGCTGTTTCTCAGTAAAGTAAGAGCTGGAGTGCCCGTTTGCCAGAGGAGGCCGGACCTAGAGAAGTCTTTCAAAGTGCAAGACAAGTCCCCCTGGCAGCCCTTCCCTGGGGACCCCTGTCCAGGGGAGCCTGAGATGCTCAGCCCCACTGGGGATGGGGGCTGGAGCGGAGGAGGCAGGAGGGATGCCCAGTGGGGTGGCTTGCGGTGGCTCCCGCAGGGACTGGAGTCCAGGAGCAACTCTGGAAAGATGATGCATTGCTGAAAACCATGGAAAAGGTATGAAGGCTGTGAGATTATCTTTGTTGTTACTGAGGTTATGCTCAAAAATTAAACTCTTGAGGAACATCCCTGTAGCAGCATAACCCCACGTGTATGTACTGGTAACTGCATTAAAAGGGCAAAGCCTCTGCTCGCCTGTTTGTGTTTTGTTCACCAAATGGAACTCTGCCCAGCTGATTTCAACTTGCTTTTCACATTCTCGAAGGCCAGGGCTGCTTCAAAATATCTCCAGAAAAACAACTGCCCCTTCCTCTTTTTCATCACCATGAGACCATTTCTACCCCCTTAAATAGCAGTCCCATTTGAGAAGTGACTCTCAGACAGCAACTGGGGAGTTTCTGTTCCCCATCGCAGAGCAGCAGCCCTCATGGAGACACCTCAGATGGGAGTCGTGGTTAAATCTTTCCAGCTGCCTTTCTGGGGGTCTGCAGAGGTGACCGAGGGACTAAAAATCATATCTCACCTGGCCACACAGGTGAATTTGCACCTTGATGCAAAATGATACATGGGTAACTCGCTCTGGAGAACTTGAGCCCGTGGGTTTCACAGCCCCTGAGCAAACCCTGTTTATATTCAGACTGTGCTCTGAAATGCTGCTTGGACACTGGGATAACCCAGTCTGCAGTGGACGATACATGTGTCCTTGTTTCAGCTGAGAGAGTTAATTGTCTTGCTAGTAGATGGTGTAGTGCTATGTTTTTGAGTTTGGTACCAGAAGAATGTTGATGACACACTGATGTTTTCAGTTGTTGCTAAGTAATGTTTACAAGAAGTTGAGGATTTTTCAGCTTCTCATGCCCAGCCAGCAAGAAGGCTGGAGGGGCACAAGAAGTTGGGAGGGGACACAGCCAGGACAGCTGACCCAAACTGGCCAAAGGGGTATTCGATACCATGTGATGTCATGTCCAGTATACGAACTGGGGGGAGTTGGCCTGGGCGTGGGTCGCTGCTCAGGAACTAACTGGGCATCGTTTGGCAAGTGGTGAGCAATTGCACTGTGCATCACTTGTTTTATATATTGCAATCCTTTTATTATTATTGTCATTTTATTATTGTTGTTACATTATTATTTTCTTCCTTTCTGTGCTGTTAAACTGTTCTTATCTCAACCCACAAGTTTCACTTTTTTTTTCTGATTCTCTCCCCCATCCCACTGGGTGTGGGGGAAGTGAGTGAGCGGCTGTGTGGTGCTTAGTTGGTGACTGGGGTTAAACCACAACAACATGGAAGAACAGTCTCCAGATGAGCGGACAGTGATCCAGTGACTGGACAGTGTCCAGTCCAGGTGACTGGGTGGACACATAGATGTGTCTGGACATCTTTTTAATCACTGAGGTCAGCAGCAGAGACATATAAAACATACTGGGAATGGATTTAATGCCTGATCTACACTGGTTTTGTAATGCTTTAATAGATTAAAGACTGTGGCAACATAGCTCCTTCCAGAACTTCTCTGGCCACATCAATGCCACAGGACAGCAGGCTGGCTTCTAACAAGTCTGGTCACACCAGCACAAATTCCATGAAAAGTTCTGATGTCAAAACACCTGCAATCTTTAGTTCTGGTGACCAAAGTGCTCTTGGTAAGATAGGTGGGTGCATGTCTGATGAAATATTTTTTGACCTGCTAGTCCTCTGTCACCCTTTTGCGGCAGCACGCTGCCAGGGAGAGGGCACGGGACTGCTCTTACATCCTCCTCTGAGTAATAAACAGAATAAACAGTGGAATTAGTGAGAATTCCCTGGAAGGAGCTGTTTCCTTGGCATTTGTACCTGCAGCTTAGTCACACGCTACTAGGAAACTTGGACTTCAATGTTCCATTCGAGAGTAAAGTTTAACTGGCAAATGCTACACTTAAATATGACTAAATGATTTTTAGTGCTTGCCTCCCCTTGACGGCTAACCAAAACCCCCTAAAGGCAGCTTTTTCCCCTATCTTTTGGTTGTGGGTTTGGAGCTGTATTCTGCTCTGAGGCAAATTAGGCAGGCACTTCAGAAGGAGCAAGACCACAGCCCTGCTTCTCTGGGTGGTGTTACAACACACTCATCAACGCCATCCCCTGCCTTAACTGCCCTGCAAGGGTTCCTCTCCACAGAGCAAAAAAAGGATCTTCTTCAAATTGCAGTACCCTTTCTGCTGCTGTACACCGTTTGCCCCAAACACCATGCCACTTCCAGTCACCCACCCCTGTCTCGCACAGTTTATTTTCATAGCTACCGAGGAGCAGTCCGTTTGGAAATACAGACAGGTTTAAAAAATATTCCTCAAGTATACAATCAGCTCTAACTTTGCTTCTCAGAAAACAAAACCATATCCACCCAAATTAATGGACTAGAATATGCAAATTATTTAGATTTTTTTCTTTAACGCTTCTGTTGATGTCTGTTATCGTGTGTTAGCCCAGTTCTGCAGAGATCCCTGATAGCCCTCGCAACTCTCACAGGGAAGGAGAGGGCAAAGGGGGCTGCCACAGAAACAACCGAAATAATTTGAACCCAGAGGTATTTGTGTTGCTTAAGGTTCTGCAGAAGATTGATTTTAACCCAATTTTAATTTGTACCAAATTTGCTTCGTGCTATCCCTTAATGTCCAATTTGAAAAGCAGATTCAGTCAAGTGGGGAAAAATAATAGAAGGGGTTATTTTCCAAAGCAGCTCCTTGGTAGAAGCTGCTTCCATCTAATAAAAATAGCACAGTAATGATAGTAATAGGGAGACTCTCTACTAAATAGTAATAAATAGTTCAATCTATTGCTCAGGAAAGCTTTCCCAGAAATGCCATGGAGAAAACTGTCTCTTTCCATTCTCAAGTCCATAAAATTACTTTTTGCCTCCTCAGCCAGGTCCTCATAGACACAATTAAAGAGAAAGTCTGTGAGCAGCTTTGCCTGCCAGCAGTGGTGATGAAGAGGCAGGGGGTGGTTTGCAGGGCTCCAAGGCTGATCTTTGATCCTCAGCAGTGCTGTTATTTCCCAAACACTTGCTTCAAAAAGAAGAGCAAAGAAGAGCACAGAAGAGATTCAAAAAACATTGGGGCAAAAGTGTTTGCAGCACATGGGCCTCTGTTGAAACATCTCTGGCAATACTGTTTGCTGCTTTCCTGTTGCAGAGACTTACTGCTTCCCCCTGATAACGAAGCAGAAACTAGACTCTTACCAGACAGGAAAAGAAGCTAGAAGATACTTCTGAAGTGTCCTGAAGTTGGTAAAAATCCCAGCCTTGCTCTCCTGTGCTCACAGAAACCTCCAGCACACCTTAAGAGGGAGAGACTGGCATGAACTCTGAGCAAGGTGTGTATTTGTTATGCATTTATACATGGCTTGGTACATGCTGCTGCCCAGCATTATTTGCTATGAATTGTAACACGAAGGAGATAAATCTATGTACCTTCAACATGAAAAGCAGCAACACAGAAGGTGTGGTAGCCTGAAGCTTCCTCAGGAAGCTGCCACCCAGGAACTGAGCCACCACGGCAGGCTGAACCCAGAAAACAGCACCTTCGCAGCTCCGAGCGTCAGGATGGGCTTTGCTGCAGCCACATCCAGCTGACCACAGCATCTATCCCAGGTCTGCACTGCAGAAGGGAAAGGAGCAGCAGCCACGCAGGACTCGGTGCTGAGCCACAGCTGCCTCCTCCTCCACTTCCCTGCGGTGAATATGTGATGTTTCACAGGCCCCAACAGAGAATACCGGCATCAGGGAGCTGGAGTGCTCACTACTCTGAGCAGTTTAATCCTTTCTTTCCTCTCTCCCCTTCTTAAAATAGTTGCTAACTCTTCCTTTGAGCAACATCTTGAGTTACCACCCTTCTGCTGAGAACGTTTTAAATTAAGCTCCACCTATGGCTGGCATCAAGACGAACTGGATCAAGCCAACACAGAGCTCCAAACAAAACTCAGGAGGCTATTACACATTCTAGGGAACATGCAGACATTATATACTACAGCCTATAGGAGTATTCCATTTTATAGGAGACAAATCTATCCACTGCCCTTGCTATACTCTTCCCTTTCCTCCTCCTTTGTGAAACTTTCTTTCATTTGATTCTTCCACTGCATCCACTCCCTAGCCAGGATCTTAACCCCAGGCTCCAAGGGCTGCCCTGCGCCACGTCCTGCCCGAGAGTGGCTCCCAGTGCTGCAGGCGCAGTGGCCAGACCCACGCGGGGTAAGAAGCTGCCATCCTCGGCCGACCGCAGGTGTGAGGTTCATGAGGAGCCACCCGCAGCTAACACAGGCGGGGTGTTCAGGGGCAGCCTTGGCAGTACACCTCTCTGGCGCAGAACGGGTCATCTTGGTATTCAATATCACCGATTGTTCTCAGCTCCGCGTTCTCGCTCCCTGGGCAAGTATTTTTATAGTACTTCTGGGCATGTAAAAATGTTTTCCAACTGACCAACAGGCCTAGCTACACTTTACTATGGGGTCTACTCTGGATGTTCAAAAGGGCCATGCGGGAGATAATGGCGGAGTTGAAAATCTGCCGCTGTGACAGAAGCCAACCATACGGAACATATATGCATCCAACGTGTAAGTGTAATGTAAGAGAGGGAGGTAACTGGAGAGTGACTTGGTTTAGCAAAAGGTTTTGTTAGTTTGGATCCCCCTCACCTACCACAGCACACCTCGAACAGGAAGCCACCTTACCCCAGATGAGCATTTTCAGTGTGCTTTGCTTTCCGGCCCCATAAAATGCGCCCAGCAGCTATACAGACACATCTTTAGCAAGTTCTGACAACACCGTTTACTTTTCTTAGTAACATTTCATAAATCTACCAGAAATGTAATCGAGAGTCTTCCCTGGGGTTAAGTAATAAGAGGCTGACACTCCAAACAGAGTTACTGTAGCCACAGTGGTCTATGGATCATGAAGTGAAGTCTGCCTTTTTCAAACCTGCCTCTAAAATGCTTAAAAAAAAAAAAAACAACCAAACTATCTCAGTTTGTCTAATAACAGATTTTCTTCAAATTAACTCCTCTAAAATCAGTTCTGATTTCTACCCATTTTCTTTAAAAAATTGGTACGTCTGGCTCTCAAACGTTTACAAACTGGTACGTTTACAGTAAGTGAAAAGGAAGACACAGCCTACTCTATCTGAAAAGAGCTGACAAGGTTTCTCACGCTAAGTGACATTATATTCACAGTAATGTTAGTTACTATCCCACCATATATATATGAGAAATAATTTCAACCAAGTCATTCAGGTCCATATTTATTAGTAAGCCTGTACACTGTCAATACTCATGATGATGCCTGAAAGAAAGAACACTAATAGAACACAGTCTTCATGTTTCAGATGCAAATTACTTCAACATTTTCCCAGTTAACATCAATAACCCAGACTAGCTCATAAAAAAAACCAAACACTGGGGATTGCAGTCCAACACTACAGAAGGAATTGCTTGGGGGTCGCCGAACAGCATACGGGTATATCAATCTGACGCAGAAAGACACGTGTTTATTAGAGTTCCCAGGAGACAGTCTCTCTTACAAGCCCAGTTTGGTCCTTCTCCAGTGTCTCCTTTTGGAGTTGTACCTAAGACAGAAGCAGTGTAAATTAGCAAAGTGCACACACACATGTTTGAGGATCCAGGCAGACTGAAAACTCCTTGAATTAGCTCAACAGTAAAGGACGGAAATCTTTCTTATGTGCTATAGTGGCAACAATAATCAGCTGTGTACTTATTTTTTTAAATTTCCACCTCTGTTTACTTTCTTCATTCACTAACCAACTAGCACCTTACTGCAACAGAAACTAAACCTCAAAGAGATAACGATGCCCGCAGAGATACATCAGCAGTGGCGTGTGAATATCCTACTTCTTTTTTTGGAGACAAGACCTGTGATCTTGTACTGACTGTCCAATGATAATGAAAACTATCCCTTGAACGTAGTTCATAGTCTAACACAAAAAGTATCATTTTTGTTCAAAATAGGAAAGCACAGCAGCGTATGGAAAAGGCCCTCTTCCGGGAAAGTATATTCATTTACGAGTACATACTTGTACATGTTAAGAACAAACAGTTTCACCACCATGTAGGTGAAACTGGAGACAGTGTTTAACAGAGTTACTCTCAGCAGGAAAATGGCAGTACTCCCACGGAATGAAGCACTGTAATTGCAGCCTGCTTTAGCACAGTTTGGATAAAACTGATGACCGGGGAGGTAATGAAGTGTCACAAGACAAAAATTCATGATTTTGCCCTTGCCCCATGACAAAGTATTCCAAAGTACTGCAATTTAGCTAAAACAGAAGCCCATTCTGAGCTGGTATCTGGAAGACAAGGATACAGTCTGGGGCACACAACACTGATTTTTCCTAGAAATAAACAAGTTAGGAGAAGTAACGGGAACAGAACCTGGCAGTTCCGTGCCGTTTCAATGCCTGAGCCACCCACTGCTACCATCACTCTCCTCACTACTTAGGACAAAAAACGATCTGGGAGAAAAAATCCTGTTCCCTTAAAAAGTCTAGACAAGGGAGCATATGAGATAAAAAGGTAGCTGCACAATGTGAGTGACCGAACTATACTGGCTGAAGCTTTTAACCCAGAGGGTTCAGATATGCACTGTCTTCTGCATGCCCCACATTTACCTAGTATTCTGCAGTACTCTCTCATTGCAATTTCCTAACTACAATGCTTGAAAATAAACACTATAGGCAAACAAAAAGGAACTATTGCAAATTAATTCTGCAGTTGTGTGCCAAGGGCCTTATACTATCAATTTTATCTCCCAGACCCCAACAAGGCCTTAGCTCCCTTATGCACAATCTTCTGTATCTTTGAACACCCATGCTCAGTAAAGTATTGTTCCTTGAAAATGCAGGAACCCAGAGGGACAGCTATGAGAGAGGGGAAAGGTGGTGAGAAGGGGAACAGCAGAAGCACAGAGGCTACCAGGGTACAAATTCTGGAATAAATTATCCACACATACAGTTCACGCTTTCACTTTACACGTGCCATGACCCAACACCTGTGGATGCTTGCAGAGCACTGGAACGAACTGAACTGCAGCAGAAGGAAATGGCACGGAAGCCCCACACTGCCTCAAGAAAACACAACGGGCCGACAGCATCGGGTGGAGTTACGTATCTGCACTAGCATACTTGTACGGTATTCACGGCCACAAAATCGCACTTTTGCTTGCACGAACGCTTTTAGACAATCAGCTTCTGCCTTCAGTTCCCACGGCACAGGCAGCCTGATTGACACTCGTGCAGCTGTAGGCTGCGGCTCCTCACAAGACAACCGCTGATCTTATTACCTGATCTTATTGCCCGTTTTCATGCGAATCCACTGCGGGATAGGCCGGTTCTGCTTCTGCTTCTTCGCGAGGAAGCGTTTGATCTTGAACGTCTTGTGAGACGACTGGAAGAGAGAGCAGCCGTTAATCCCGCACGGCAGCCCCCGCCTCGCAGCCGGCGGAAGGCAGCTCCGCCGGGCCCGGGCCGGCCCCACCGCGGGCGCTCAGCCACGCCAGCGCGGGCGGAAGGCCCCGGAGAGCAAAAGCACCGGCAGCCCGCGCGGTGAGGCGGCCGGCGGGCCGCCAGGCCTCGGCGAGGCGGGGA